CAAGTTGTGCTGCATAGATTCTGCTATAGCCCAGGAGTGCCGCGTAGTCCGCGTAGGCAGCACGATAGTAACAGTGTGTTCGCGTAGTCTGCTCTGCAGGGAAAAAGGCCATCCGCGTAGTTCGCGTAGGCAGTCAATCTTAGTATAAGGACTTTAACCTGAAAACAAACAATGCTCACATGAGCATATCTTGACAGCCCTTGCTTGATGAGGTTCATGGCATTCTGGGTCGTGAGCTTCCGCCGCAAGCCTGCTGAGACGTACAAACCGCAAGTCTTCCCTGATCTGTCTGGAGCTCTGAGGCCACCAGAACCGGCACGCAAGACCAAGTGGACCTGCACAGCCTGTGGTTAAAGACCTACTTCGTAAAAGCCTGCCTTCTGGCTCCCGGTGTCGTCCCCTCTGATCACATGCAAGGCACCATGAATTTCGATTCATCAACTTCTTGTACGTCAGGGGCCCAGCTGCGATTGCGCACATAGGGAGCTTACCCGTCATCTTCAAAGGCGCTGTGGAGAGGGGCGCTACGCCGAGGAGGCCGGACACGGGATCGCGACGGGACGTGCTTTCGACACGCCAGATTGCTGGAGCCGGCAGGAACGCGCTGCTAGTGCTGCGGCCAAAGCTGCACGGCAACAGTCTGAAATCTCAGCTGGTGACCTTCTCACTGATTTGAGCATTTGCTTTGCTCAAGCAATATTATAAAAACCTCAACGTCACGACAAACGCTTAGCTTCGACAAAAGCAGAGCAGCGCATGCTGCTCCCAGGCAAGTCAAGTGGGAGTGCAGCGCCTGTGGACAGAAGAACTTTGCATCTGTCGAATCCTCAGGTTGTGATTGCGGGTTCTGGGGTCATCAAGATCTTTCTGAACAGAGAATTGTGCAGGCAAGCGAGTGCTACAAGTGCGGAGCTCCACGAGGACACAACACAGGTTTTACTGATCTGTGAGCGGTTGTGCATACGCATTGCCTCCTTTGAAGCAGAGTGCGTTTCAGACAGCGCGCCGACTGTCCATCCAGGATAGCTGCTTCGAGCTGACGTGATCCAGCACACCGCCCACGCAAGCAGAGGAGAGTGAGAAAAGGATGCTTGTCACCCTGGACATGGTACTGGTACAGAGCGCAAGCTGTTGAAATCTGCTTTCCGAAGCGCACATTTTGCGATAGCGCAGTGCAGGGGCTAGTTGGCTGGTGGGTGCTGGGATTGGTACACCACAGCCGCATGAAGCCGCATCCATCCGCTGACCTGATAATGGCTCATTGCCCTAGCGCATGGAGGTAAGCATTGCCATGATACAATCCGCCCGCTCACTTATCCACGTTGTCGTGAACTCTTTCATAGCAGCGGCCTACAGTATCTGTCTTGCATGAAGCGCAAGACATCCTGCAATTCGACCTTCCCTCTGCAATGAAGATTGTCGTCAATAGTACCTCGGACTGATTTGTTGGTCCGCATTGGTTGTAGACCTTGCTCTTGATTAGTAAGGGCGCCCAGGCCCCCGGCCCCCCCCCCCACAATAATAGCCGGGCCCCATTATTGAAGGCATCCCAGCACCCAGAAGGAAAAAGTAATTTGTGAATTCGTGCCAAGTACTACTGCATGGTTTTTCATACATTTTGAATTGAGTTCTATTTTGATTCTAAAGGAAATTCGAAGAGTTTCAATGGGTTTTCAACTGGATCCTAATTCATATTGATTAGTTGTATTAGGTTTAAGAGATCTTAAGAGCTTTTGATTTGATAGTGAACTGATTTGAATGAGATTGTACTTGATCGCGTTTGAAGGGGTCTAAATCTGCTTTTGAATTATTTCAATTAAGTTTTAATTAATCTCGAATAGGTTTGTATTGATTGTAACTAGATTCCTCATATGAAGCGGAGAAACACTTGCCATTTTTCTAGGGTTTTTATCAATCTAAAGAAAGATGCTCTCAGGCAAGGTCCGTGAGGGCTAGCTCAGGAAGCATCTTTGCGCCGTTAATTCCAAATCAATTTTAGTGAGCAACTTGAGGTCTCAGATTCAGCTCTCTTTATTCTCATGCTAAGAGCAGCCTTAGAAAAAGAGTCAGGCTTCCGAATTGGCTTTCCTTAAGCAGCCAAGCAATGAGGGTTTTTGAAGCTATGCGAAACTAAGGGTTTTCATTAATCTAAAGAAAGATCCTCTCAAGCAAGTGTTTACTTTCCGGTGAACATTATTTTCGGCTTTTAGAGCCTTAGGCTTAGAAATCAAACCTGAAACCTAAACCTTGTCATTTTTCAGGGTCTAGGGGGTTGTTGGCCCCAAAACCGCCTCTGCCTTCAAAATGGTCTTGGGCCCCTAAATTTGGCCCAAACATTTTTCTTTCAATGTCGGAGGTTTCATCAATACAGAGCATGGATCAGCATAAAATTGTTTGAACCAGCCATCTGCAAGGCTACCGGCCAGTAGCTGTTTGGCTGTGGGAGGCAGGTGTGGGAAGTGGCCTCTGCACGATGGGTCTTTTCTCCCAAATCCCTGACAGGTGGATGAAGAGTGCTGCTCCATATGTCGCACTTCGGCTGCATTTCTGGTGCTTCTACTGATTGACAGGAATGCATTTTAGAGCCAGGCATGTTTCCGCAAATGGATTGCCTTTGCAAGATCCAGGAAGTGCACACAATGCCTACACATGCCACCATGTTAACCTAACCTTACCTGACCTTGCAGCTAACCGTGAAGTTCATGACGGCAATACTTAAGCCATCTTAAACCTCTACAAATGTATTCGGCGATACCGAGCAATTGTGCTGACTGCGTGTTGAACGAGCGCGTACGAGCGCACGCTTCTTGGTTGATCAGCCTAAGCATCTGCATGGAAGGCATGCCGTTTGATGCGTGTTGCCCGGAGTGCAAGATGCCAGGCCATTTAGTGTCAATGCAGCTGAGCTCCTGCTTTCACGCATTCATCGGTTGGAGGCGACGAGTGTCCACCAGTTTGGGGCTGCGCCCCTATATCCTTCAGCTGTGGAGTCACATGTGTCGGGGGTTGCTTCAATAGACTGCTGCTGCATTCAGGAGCCATGAGTGGTCCCAAGCACACTTCCGAAACCTGTGCTTCTTGATGAGGGGAATGCGGACACCACTTCCACATCCACTGCATAATGAAGTGGCTGCAGAAGGAGCAGAAGCAGTGCACCGACATGCACCAAGTTATCGTACCGGCAGCTTGCAGCGGTGTAGTTGATTACCGCTTGTTGTTCCAAACAGGTGCCCCATGTGTCGTCGAGAATGGAAGTTTCGTCAATGAACCACATCTGAGTGCTGCAAAGACCACGCTCAGACTTCGAGGCTGCACGGAAAAAGTCTTTGGGGCCTGTGCTTTTCGAGGCCAGGGTTGCCCGTCTCGGCTATCGGCGAGTGAGGCAGAGCCGAGACTCCGCCTTGCGCCTGATCTCCCAGGATGTTGGTGTATGTTCTTACCAGGTCCGCTCCCAGGAAGCATGTCACCCATAAAGACGCACGAGAGCCTTTTCCATTGATGCAGCCCACCGACCTCCAAAATTGAACCGTAGGAGCTTCGCATCTCATTTGGTACATCGACATGCAGTGTTTCAGACAGAACCTGTGCCAACCCGCTGCCTTTCAGCGGAGCACAAGGACATACAAGGACCGCAGCTGCAACTACGAGCAGACTAGCCTTCTACAAATGCTGTTGATAACGAATCTTGGCCCTTCATGCTGATGGATAATGGATCGACGCTGATCATGGTGTAGACATGGGTGCCCCTTGGCATGTTTCAGTTTCCTTTGCCATCTTTGCCGTAACGCTTGAAGACAAAGAGAAGTGTCACCTGAAGGCTGCTGCTGCAATCATGAGCACGCAGAGCTTGTAGCTCAGATGCGGGCGCACTGTAAATGGTGTGCTGAAATTTGCCGCGAAACGGGTGGCATGCTTTGTTAAAGTTGCAGTCAAGCCTTTCAACCCAATAAGGATTGAAGAGCCACTCCGCCGCTCAGCGCGAATCATGCATAATTGTGGGCTAGAAGAGTTGAACTCAATTTCAGGCGGAGGCTTCAAATTCTTCGTAGGCAGTGTCGCGCTGTTGAGATTTACATGGGGTTGAGACTTACAATAGGGTTGAGGCGATCAACGGTCAAGGCGTCCTGAAGGCAGCAACTCATTGTTCTTCGTGCGCCAGACAACATCAGCAGAGGCATCCGAGCAAACCCGGGTCCTCCCTCCCGCCGTCCAGTGCTCAAGTGCTCAAAGGAATTTTGCTACTCGTAAGTTTCAGATTTGGAAGCCGCAGGAAGATGCACGGACCTTCCTTGCTGTGTTTTCTTCGTTGTAGTCCTTGCAGGCCGTGAGCTTAGTCCTGGCTGCTTTTGAAGCCTTTAGAAGCTGTTTGCATCTTGTCTCCCAAGGAAACGCAGTTCTTTTGGATTTCTTCGGCCAAGTGGGAGATCTCAGGCTTTGTAAGACGAGTTGCATTTGCTGCGGGTAAGCTCATGTAATCTCATGTATGTCTTCAACTACAGATGCCAGATGTAGAAGTAGCGAAGGCGCATCGATCATGGACTCGACCATGATGGAAATCTGTGCGGTCTTGGGAGCCAGGCTACTAGGCCATGCGACATCAGCCATCCATCATCATACTCCTCATGATGATCATGATTTCTGATGATGAGCATCATCATCCCCTGATTCAACGGTGTCTCTTTCGGTCAAGTGGGTGCACAGGCCGTATGCATTCTATCCAGATTTGGATACGGACTTTGCCAAGGACCCCCCCGGCCACGATCATAAGATGGTAGGAAAGGCTACCAGATTGTGAAGCATTTGTTAGAGACGCGCTGGCAAACATGTTGTCAACTGGCCAGTGTACCTTGTCAAAGGACAGGTTGAGTCCAGGTCCAGGGTTAGGGTTGGTCGAGGTACCCCGTGAGCAAGAGAACTGACGTGAGAGAGAACCAATGCGTCGTAGTCTGTTGCGTTTGCTTGTGGCCGGAGCTGCTTCGGTGCTTGTTCATGATCGCAGAGAAGTGTGAACCGGCTTGGGATTTCCTTCCTGTCTGAAAACAGCTTCATATCTGGGTGTGCTTCTGTTTCGTAGTGACGCAGAAAGTGGTTAGGGGTAAGTACTTCAGTTTCTTGCCGGGAAGTTGCGGTCCTTGATGTTGGTCGTGCGTTCTTGCTGAAGTATGAAGTCGAGGCCGGCCCTCAGTGTGTATTGCGTGTCTGTACCGGGCAAACTAACAAGGTTTCCAGAACTAAGGGTCCATGCCAGACCATGGGGGCCCTCGTCCTTTAATGCGGTGGGTTGCTGCTAACATTATCACACCAGCCACCAGTTCCTGTAGAGCTTAGTGTGTAACGTGCGATGACTCTTTGCAAGCAAGCTGCATGCTCATCCACTTTACCACTATCTTTTCGTGCGTTGCCTTTGCGTTGCTGTGGAGGACCAGACACTGCGGCAGCGCTACGGGATTTGCCTTGAAGCGTGTCGTTGTCCCAGAATTTCGAAATGGATTCACGCAGAGAGCAACGGAAGAGAACGCTTTCAACATGTTCCAAGTTCGTTCAAGGCCCAGCAGTGGGCAGTTCTGTCCAAGACTATGGCAACATGCCTTTGGCTTGGAGGGATGTGTCAAAGCGTCGCGCAGTTGGATTGTGCAGGATGTGGGGTTGCTCAGCTCAGGCGTCAGTCTGACTGGGTAGTCTTGCAGCATCGGGCTAAGACGCACATTCCGCTCAGCCCATTTCGCACACATGTCGCGCTTTGATTTGCTAAGCGCAACTGCATTGGACCTGTGACTACCACGCTATGGTATTGATCCTGATATCCCATTGTGTGAGGCCGTCTTTTGCAATTTTTCGCCGCGCCTGGCTTACATCTTGTGTTGGAGATCTTTCCGTAGTGCTGGGTTCACGGTTGAATCAGGTCACTGCTGGCACAGCCCTAGAGCAATCAAACTTGGACAAAGGATTGTCTGCGGAACCTCAAGCTTAAAGAGATGTTTTCGTGTCGTTTATAAGGATTCTGAATCATTCTGAGATTCGCAGTGATTTGTGGCCTTGGATGACACGGGGGCTTTTGGGTAAAGAGTCTTGTTTCACTTGTGCTTCCCGGTAGCTTTCTACATTTGGGGTTCGAGTTTTATAGTTCGGGAGTTTAGGTTTCGAGGCTTGTGAAGTTTCGCGATTTCAGGCTTCGAGGTTTCATTGGGGGGTGCTTCTGGGCTGACGTCGTTATGGCCACGAACTATGATCTCATTGTTTAAACATCTTGGTTTATGTGTTTTTTTTCAGGATCTTTCTGGAGGCCGTTAAGAACACCGCAAGCCTGAGACGAGGGAGAACCCTTGATGCTTGATGCATTGTACACCAGTGCTCAAACACAACAATTTGGCAGAAAGAGCATTGTCGAGGGAGGTTAATTGTCGGCATGCCCACCTACTGTAGTATGCGGGCAAGACTCTTCCAGCGGCATTATGACCAACGTTCGTTGCATTGTTTATGAGTAGATGTGCGAAGGCTGTGTTCCATACCAGCAGCCGGCTGATCAAAGCAGCACTGCGTGATGCGCACAGTTGGGGACGACATTTGGACACCTGGAAGACTTCCGGCTCTGCATGGCTTGCCAAGGATGTGCGCTTCGCCATCATGCGAGCCCATACCTGGAGCTCCATCTAAGCCGGAGCAGGCCTTCACAAGATTCAGCTACTTCGCAGATCCTCGCAGCAAAATGCGGCTTGAAAAGGTTTGCGGTCTGAAGAGGGACAACACGGACCCGACAAATTGTTTACAGACCAAAGACGGTTGCAAGTGACGTTGTGTAACGGGATGGTTCAGAGGACAAGTACTGGCTGCTTGAGCAACCTGATACCTCCCTGGAAGATGGCTGGAGCCTGGCCCTCAATTGCCGATTTGACAACCTCGTTGCTTATCGAACCCGGTGTTGGTGTGAGGAGCTGAAGGCGCAGACAGTGCGCTGATCAGCGCGCACCACTCAGGCTTCCCAGGCTTCTGACTCTTCAGGTACTAATAGTGTGCGCTTCACACATTCTTTTGTGCTCTTCTTGCTTTTGACAAGCGCGCTTCTCTGCCCAGCCCATTCCTTTGGCACCTGAACCTGAGAAATGCAGGGTCGTAGATAGTCTGAGCGCGCTCCTTGGCTAGACTACACCCAAGGCCAGGGTTGCCATGTCTCGCACTGCGGCCTCAGAGGCCCTGGTTGGTCGTGGATATGTTCAATGCCATCAGGGGTTTCAAGCGCGCTGACAACATCAGGCCACGCGTTGCCGACAGAAGCTTCGGCGGGAAGCTTCGACAGCCATTAGGCCTGATGCTGACAGGCTCTCGAAGCGTCAGTCAAGCCGCCGGCAGGCCATTGAACGACAGCCAGGCCCCGAGGAGGGGACCTGAACGCTAGTAATGTGAGCACAAGATTCACAAGATCAAGCGTCGCTGCAAGGCTTAGCTTACAACCTTCTGACCTCCGTCACCAGTGCAGACCTCAGCGAGTTGAGCGTCGACAGCGGTTATGATCCTACTAGTAACTCCAAGGTCCGGTGTATACTGCTGGAAATTCTATCCGGGACAACCAAGCCCGACTCCGAGAACACCGTGCAGATCCCTGCAGCTAAAAGCAGAGTACCATGGCAGAGTTGGCGTGGCCGCTGATGCTGCCGAGGCTTTGATATTGGGCCTGGGAGCTCGGGTCTTGGAGACGGTTGTCTGCTTGAATTGTCAGGGATCTGTCATGCTGGAGAGGTTGGCGGTTCAACCGTGCTCTCTCTCGTCATCATGCTACTGCGAACTACTCAGAATAACCTGAAGTGCCACTGCCATTTCTTTGTATACTCATTCAAAGGCAAGTCATGAGGCCTGTCTGGGACCCCATTTCCCTCGTGATACCGCGCATCTGAGAACCTCTAAAGGTCTAAAACCGTAGACATGTTGGAGATACAAAGGCCCAATTGTGCTGAAGATTCTGGCCGGAGAAGAGGCCCCAAACAACCAGAAACAAAATACAAACGCAACTTCAACATCTTCCCTCGACATCCGTTTGGATTCTGAATTAGAATAGTGTCATTTTTCAAGGTCACAAGCCAGCTTGAGGTACTGTATTTGACGGAACCTTTTTTGGCTTGTGAGGTTCCCAGTGTGCGCGCCGCCAGTATTGCCCGATGCCAATGACACATTCTATTTGTTGTCCTCGCAGCCGTGAACATCGAGGCTTGCGCTGCTGCTTGTGGTGTTCGTGGTGCTCATCCTCGCGGATTACGTTTTGTCCTTCATGCGAACGGCGCTGCAGAAGGTCAGTTTGACGTGGGCATCGTCGCAAGGTTCTCTTTGTCCAGGGAGGCATTGCCAGTGGCAGGCAAGCTGACTCTGCTCACGGACACATGTTGAGATGATATTTTTTACCAGCTTCTGGTCAGGACTGGAGCTCAGTTGCAGCAGCCTTGCCCTCAAATGCCGATGTGGTGCCTGCTTGCCTGGTAGACTCTTCACCAGGGACTAGCCATCTTGGCGCCGCAGGTTCTTATCTAGCTTGTCAATCTCGGTGCCTCCTGGCGCAGAAGCTCTGCCCGGGCCATAGTCTTGCTGTTTGCCCCACTCCTGAAGTGCCCTGAGCTGTTATCTCCAAGGCTTACTCAAGCCAGCAGCAACCAGGCAACGATGCAGCAGCTGCCTTAATCTCAACTCCGTGCGTTTTCAAACACGCGTAATCATTAAGGTACGTATATAGATGCTTTATGAGTGACCTATTTGCCAGTGTGCTCCAACCACACAAAGATGATGCATATGCAGTCTGCAGTTTCAGGTGGTTTGCGATCGGCGGCTGTTTGTTGGCTGTTGCCATAATGCTCTTGGCCTGCACAGCCTCAGCCTCAGCCTCACACGGACATGCAAAGCAACAAGAGCGTGGACCCCTTTGCCAAGACGTGTGCTTCTGAATCTTCCATCTCAGAGTCAGAGGTGCTCTCATTGGCGAAGCAGTTCCGGATTGTTATCGCGTTGCTCAGCGAGGCACCGGGAAGTGCTGGAGGAAGCACTTGGTGAAGCACTGGTGAAACACTGGTGAAGCGGGTGAAGCACCTTCGTAAAGGGGCTCCAACAGCTTTTGTTTGAATGTTTCTTGCTTTCTCGGTTCCGTGGCTTTAGGCCGGGAACATGATCCGAAGAGTGCCTTCCCTGCTGGCATTGCCCTTGATTCTCTTAGGGAGCCTTGCCGAAGCCCCGGCGAAAAACAGTTGGCTCTAGGTTGAAGTGAGCTTTGGCAACTCTGTGGGTGAGGCTATCTTCTCCGCTGTTCTGATACTTGGCCTGCTTGGTGTTGCCACTGCTTCCGATGAGCAGGTGCCAGCCTTAAATCTGAGCAGGGGCTATGAGCGTTAACAAAGATCACGCAGCTTCACTGGCCTTGCGCGCTGTAAGGTTGCTGCCATGCTTGACCACTGGAACGTTCATGCCAATGAGGCGAGACTATGATGCCAATACATTTTGCAATGCTAGTTGGCCCTTCGTTGCAATGTCAGCGTGCGCTTCTGATACATCAGGCTGTGCGACATTTTCAACAAGCGGCAGCATGTGCCTGAGATGTGTAGGGATAGGATTAGAGAGAGGGAGAGCATTGCCAAGGCTGCAGTCTTCGTTGTAAGCTTCATTTGGCTGTACTTCTTTCATGCCATGCCCTCAGCAGATGGTGGTGCAAGCAGGAGCATGGCGAATGAGTACTGGTCCCGTGCCTTGCGCTGAAAACCATTCCTGAGGTTGCAGTATATCACAACACCATAGCGTCGGTGCCGTAGTCGCATGCTGTTGGCAATTTCCAGTTTCAAAGTTTTGTGTGTGAAGCTTCAGCAGCGATCAATCTACAGGCTGACTGTGTCTAGATGGTACTTTCGAGGAGATTTGCAGGCCGCAGCATGCCGAAGCCTTGCTTTCTTGCTTGTAGCCTTTTTCCCAACCTTGCTGCGTGGCATGCAGGAGCACCACCTCTGCCCGTCTCTCGGAGGCTGCGCGCCGCTTAGCATTGAGATTCACTTGGGCATGCACCGTTTCACTTCGCAAAGCTTCTTGCTATCTTGTTTGTGATTGCAGGCTTGGGTGGTCCAGTTGCTATCTCTCTGTTGCAGGAGCTGTGCCTGCTTGTCAAAGCCCTTCAGAAGTGTTTTCCCTTCGATGAATCTCAGAGGCCTTTCGCTATCACTGTGGCTCGCTGGCCTTTGGTGCGCTTGCCTTAACCGCGCCGGCCTTATCTTCAGCTCGAATCCATTGAATGACGAAAGACACACTTTTCATGCTGAGGTCTGCACCATCCCACGCGTGCTGTGGGACTTCCCAGAAACTCCAGCAATTTGCAGTCTGCAGCGACTGCTAGTCATAGTGTTCAGCGGTGCAAGGCTGGAGTTCTTGGAGAAGCATGCAAAAGAAACTGGTGAGCAGAATGCCTCTGCCCAAGCTGCATGACTACCATCAAAGTTTGGGTCCTCCCCACCTTCTCAGCGTTGCTCCATGTCTAGGCCTTGGCTGCAGCGGTGCGCTGTGCCACAAGGCTAGCGCCCTAAGACTGGAACATTTGTACCAGAAACTCGAACAAAATCAAAACACGGAGTAGTACCGAAATGTGTTTCCTATGCGGGAGGTCTAAGGCTGCGACTAGAAACTCAAAACCGTGACTGTTGCTGAGAAGCATTGAGAATATCAGGTGCTGTTTGAGCTGGCTTCACTGCTGCCTTCAGTTCGTAACGGAGTATGCCTACATGTATGTGGCCGTCATAGGACTGCGGCATGCGTTGTCCAGCTGGACTTGCCGCGGGAACTCATGTTGCAGGAGACCCATTCTGCTCCTGTGCCTGCAAATCGCAGGGTGGCTCAGGACGCAGTGGCGCAGTGCACAAATCATTTCTGGTAACCAATACTTCGTTTGCCAACCCAGGTTTCAGCTCTTTAGCAAGTATCCCGCTCAGGCACTTCTTGATTCAAATGCCTAAATGCCTCTCAACGTGGCTTTTTGGAGCTTGAATCTGTCTTCAGGTTGCGCTGAACACCTTAACTTCTGTGGTGCCAGCTCCCCGGAACCCTACACAGCCACAAAGCTGAGTCTGCAGACTCCGTGACGCGAAGCCAGGCTCGGCTTTCTGGTTTGCATTGGAGTGCCGTTTGCACTGGCGCCGTGGCCGCAACCTAGTAATGGGTGGGAACGGCCTAAGCAGGCCGGGTGGGAATTTAGGGTTCAGGGGTGGTTTAGGGCAGAGGGCTTTCTTAGGGTTCAGGGTTCAGGGTTGGCTTAGGGCTTAGGGTTTAGGGTTCGGGTTTAGGGTTTAGGATTGAGGCTTAGGGTTTAAGGTTGGTTCAGGGTTTAGGGTAGGGTTTGGGGTTCAGGGTTGGTTTAGGGTCTAGGCCTTTCTTGCGATTTACGGTGCGGGGGTTGGAGTTCAGGGTTACGGCTTAGGGTTTACTGATGAGGGTTCAGGGTTGGTTTAGGGCTTAGGCTTTAGGGTTGGTTTAGTGCTTAGGCTTCAGGGCTTAGGGTTTAGGGTTCAGGGTTGGTTTAGGGCTTAGGGCTTTCTGGTGCGCGAATCTGTCCGCTTGGTGCGCGAATCAGCTTTTTTTTGGGTGCGCGAATCGGTCCGTGGCAGTGCGCGAATCTTTGGTGCGCGAATTCTTGGTGCGCGAATCCGACGGGGCAGTGTGCGAATCCGCCGTTGGTAGTGCGCGAACCCTGTGCTTCTCCCAGTGCGCGAATTTTCCCTTTTGGTGCGCGAATCAGATCTTGTTTGCCCCTACAACTACAACTCCTGAAGCAAGAGACAGCTCAGACCCAGCTGCAGTACGCTAGCTCTCGTGGCAAGCGAGGCAAGGGTGTAGAATTGGGATGAAAACTCACTAGTCAAGATGAGTGCTCAAGAATTCTTGCAGCATGATTGCCACTTTGGTGACCTCATCCAGCTGGTGCCAAGGTACTCGCAGCTTTTGGTGAACTACGAGACAGCTGGGTCAGCTTTGAGTTCCATGCTGAAATTGGAGCGATGCTGTAACAGTGATCATGGAGGGTTTCGCTGCTGCTCAGGCCATGTGCGCTTTGTGTGATCGTCCTTGCGTACATAATTTCGCGACTGTCAGCACGGCACCAAGTCCTCATGATGGTGTTGGACGTAAAGCCACAGTAAGAGGTTTCTCATGCTCCTTGCTCGTGCCACTGTGGACGAGACATACGAGACAATAGAAGCATCACAACAAGGCTAAACAAGTAGGATGCACCAGAGTTAGGGCGATGACAACTGTGCCCAGAGGCAGAAGCCCAAGCTCCGCTTTCCAAAGGTTGGAGTTTACGATGCGATCCTGACCACTCTTTTCATCTGTGCCATGAGGGACGAGGCCAGGACTGCTCATGAACTTTGCCTAAAATGATGTCCTGTGTAGCATTTGCTTGGGGAGGAGTACTGCGGCGGTCAGCACATGAGTGTTGAGCTTCGACAAGCGTGACGAGCTGAGTCAGCTTTGGAACACCCCAACCTAAGCAATCGCTTGGGAGTTCGGCCCCCGCAGCTTTTGGTTCGTGCCTCCTGCTGCTTTCTGCCTTCCATTCTCGGCCCCAACTTGTTGCTTTTGCTTTGTTTGTTCCTGCCTCTCGCTGTGTGTTGAATCACCATATTATTCGCCTCGGCCTTTGGCCGACAGGCGTCTGGAACAAGCTGACCAGGATCGCCTGCTCCCCCTCTCCCTACTGTCCCCCAACCCAAAGTTTTGCCCCCCTCCCCACCCTTGATTCCCTCAAAAATTCACCCCCTGACATAATTACAGTTGGCACCATTCTCATGCTTTTGTCATTGCAATCAATCGTGCTATCCGGAATATGCAAACTTGTTATTACTCTGATTTAGCAATGTGTACCAGTACTATTCCACTCATGAATCACGATTACCATTGTCATTCTCCAATTGTTGGTTTAGGCCTAGCGGCAGGGGCCGGCCCTGCCGCCTTCGGCAGCCCTCCGGGAGCCAGCAGATGAGCATCATGGGGTCTGTTTGGGCAAGGTTAACCCCCCGTAAGCTCTAACCCCCCATAACCAAAACCAAACGGCAAGGTTAGCCCCCCATAAGCAAACCACACATGGCACGGCCAACCCCCCCACCATAAGCAAAACCCGAAAGCCAAACTTAGCCCCCCGTAAGCAAAATCCAAATGTTAACCCCATAAGCATGGCAAGGTTTACCCACCCCCATAAGCAAAACCTAGATGGTAGGGTTAACCCAAAGCCAAACTAGGCCAAACTAGCCCCCCCCCATAAGCAAAACCTAAGTGGCGAGGTCAAACGCCCCATAAGCAAAACATAAATGGCAAGGTTAACCCTCCCAGGAACCCCATCAGGCCTGGCCTAGTGGGCTCAGGCAGCTTGAAAGCCTAGCAGAAGGAGAAACGGGACCTCAATGATGCTGATGATGCTGGCCAAGGGGGCCAGCATCATCAGCATCATTGGGGGTCCGTTTCTCCAATTTTGGCCTCCCATGCGCCCAATAACCCTTGATGGAGTCTAGATTTTGCTCAGTCCTACTCCAAGAGGGGCCTCGGGGCTAGTTTTCAAAACGGTCCGTGCTCATGATGCAGATTTTGAGGTTTGTGAGGGTCCTAAAATCCTTCAAAAATTCCTTCCGTGCAGTGGGGATTCCTTTTGAAAAGCATGTGAATTTCAGAGTGGTCTTGGAGCGGGCCTCACCTTGGATCACGGCGGCAGGGCCGGATTTTAGGCCTGGCCGCAGAGACCCGCCCCTCCGCTTTCGTACTTTGATGGTTTTTCTTGGGCTTTTGACCCTCCTGGTCCCAATTAAGCCAAAATGGGTTCCCAATTGAGCTGATGATGCTTCTGTACGATTCGCACGTCGCGCGTGCCTCGTACAGGAACATCATCAGCACAATTGGGACCTCATTTTGGGCAGTTTAAGGTAAAGGTAGAGAGAACAGGATCTTCCAAACCTAAAAAACATTTCAGGTAGCCATAACATAAGTTTTTCGTGCATTTCTCTCAAGCAGGAGCATCAGCATGGGCTTGGCTTTCGCATGATGACTGGGTGGGCAGGGAGGGGGGGCTGCGAAAACCTACACGCACACTCCATAAAACCATCATAAAACCAGTATAAAACTGGCAGAAAACCTGCATGAAGCCACCATAAGTCCTGCAACCCATGACCCCATGCAACATCCAAGATTCAGGAACCCCATCAGGCCAGGCCAAGTGGGCAGAGCCTAGAAGCCTGGCAGGATGCTGGGGGGTCCGGCATCATCAGCATCTGAGGGTTTGATGTTTGCTGCTCGGCATCGCCACATCTTTATGTCTTCTTCAGCAAAGGCTTCAACTTGAAGGTGGGCGAGAGGCGTTGGTCTCAGCTGCAGCAGCAGCAGTAGCAGCTGGACTGGTGCAACTCTTTCAACTCCAGAAGGTGGAGTTCTCCTGACCTTCTCAAGACGAGCGCTTGCTACTGAAGCGGCGAGCTAGCAGAATTCATGGAAGGACGGATCGCAGGGTGCAGAAGGGCTTTTGAATAGCTCTTGCCAGCACATCAGGAGGAGTATATGGGTGCTCTCACACTTCCAACACCTCAGGCCCTACTTGATACAGAATGATCTCTGGATATCTCTGGTAAATCCGCAGAAGCGAACTCGCTGCCGTTCTTGCATGTGTAGGCAGGCTGTGGTAGTTTCCTCGGCAGAGCTGTCTTGGCATGGCAATGAAAATCTGTGCTGGTCAGCGGAATCACCTCGTGCTGCCTAGCCGTACTACCACTGGGGACTAACCTGGACGCCCACAAGGCAGGCCATCCGATGCTTTCAAATTGCAATTTGCCAAGATTATACTTCATGGCCGTCGTACTTGAAGACATCCGTTTATTTGGGTGAGGGGAGCGGCACAAGGACGTGTATGCTGATTTGTACTGTTTTTTTTGGCACTGGTCAGTCAGCGTTATATTTAGAAGGAGTGGTTGCCTTTCTCTTATACAATTACTCTGGTTCTACCCCTCAAATTTCAAGATCTAGCTGTGACCCTTCGGAATGTGGGCAAATGCCAGGTCACAGCAGGGAATTTGGGTGCGCATACGAGCTTGTTCTGCGATTTGTATGTTCTCCGCTGGCAACCGGGCTTCGCAACAGATACATCTGTACCGTAGAATCAAGTCGTCAAGCATGGCAGGGGCGTTGCGCAGTAGAACCCAGCCCATGATGCCTGTCAGATATAGTGTAGCCAGTGGCTTCATACGTGCCACTCATGTGAACCCACATGAGCCAACCATGATCACACTAGCTATGGGCCGCTGCTTGGGCCACCGATGCTTATACTTCTGACCTTGGGGGCCGCTGATGCCGCAGTGCTGGCCTCAGAGACCAGGGAACAGAGCAGAAGTCAGCGAAGGATGCTGTCAAATTGGACAGCCGAATTAACACATTGCCAGCGTTGAAGCAGATCCGGCAGGACTCGGAAAACAATAGAAAACACCTCTTGTTTCCTGCTGCTCCTCTGCGGTGGCGATGGTAGTGGTGGCGGGTGGTGGTAGGTGGTAGGTGTTGGTGGCGGCAGCGGCAGCGGTGAAGGTAGCGAGGTGGCGGGGCGTCGGTGCGGTGGCCAGTGGGCGGCGCTGGCAGTGGCCTTTGCGGCGGTGGTGGTTGTACTAGTGTTGATGGTGCTGGTGAGGGGATTGCTTGCCAGAGCGCGTCTCAATTACCCTTCGCGGTGCAGGTTAATGTGGACCGCATGAATCAACCAATGAATGAATAAATGAATGGATGAATGCATGCTGAGGGGCGGCATGGAGGGAGTTGTTGAAGGTGGTGGTCCCCTGGCTCCTGTTGGCGGCGGCAGCAGTTGAATTGTTACAGTGCCTGCTACATGCATTTCCAGCCCCCAGCAAAACCCTCATTGTTAGGATGTATAGCCTATTCCTATACCCATGTACATTTCTGCACTGCATCAGCTTGAGCTTAGGTGGTTTGCGCAGCCCCTTCTGTACTCAAGGCGTGATCAGGAAAAGGTAGCGCCTTTTGTTGTGG